TAGCACCCGTTTCCTCACCTGTAAAACACGGCAAGTGGTGGCTGCCTCACAGACTGGCGTGAGGACTGAAAACACTGTACGTAAATGACCTGCACTTGTAAGAGCTCAGTGGCCAGTGACAGCAGAGATTGCCGCGTCGGCTCCAGGCTGGTCGGCGGGGGCAGCGGCCTTTTTGTTGTTGACCGGAGGCCTGGGGCAGCCAATGTGCCCCCCTGAGCTCCTTGGGTAATTCATTGTTCTTATGGCTCTTTGGGTTGGGTCTGGTAAACAGTTCCACAATCCCCTTTCTTCATTTTTGGAGACAGAATGAGTTCCTGGATGTCTCAGGGCAGAAAGCTTTGGGGTGGGTATCATGCCTGAACTCCCTGTCTAGGCTCATGATGGCCCTGCCATGTGGACCTGTGTGACTTTGAGCATTCTCTTCACCTTTCTGGGCCTCAGAAACATAGATGCCGTGGCCTGTAGGCTGTCCTACAGCTTTGCAGTGTTAGGAGCCTATCCTTGCATACCAGTCATGGACCTGGGGATACAAAGCTAGTTGGAGGCCATGCCCCTCATTGCACCTCCAGAGGCCCATCACATGGATGGGTGATGCTCCATGGATAATGCTCCTAAGCTCTGTCCAGTCCTACGAATCCAGACCAGAGTCAGCATTCCTGAGTACCTGGCTCCCACTTTGCCTTCAGGGAGCAGTGTTGTAGTGATTTACAGGGTGGCTCAGGGGGATGTTAGACCTCCCCATCTGCATCAACCCTCACAGCCCCACTCCAAATAAACAATCTAAGAAAAAAAAGTACAAGGTTAAGACAAGGCCTTCAGCTCCCCTTCAAACCTGATTGCCACTCCTAAATCTGTCTGCCATACACATTTGGCAGCATCCAAAGAAGCCAAACCTTGGACCACCCCCTGGAGCCTCAGCCCCTCGCTGGCCTAAACCTTGCAGCCCTATGTCTGCACTCACCTGCCTGCTACAGGAGCACTTTGGTTCTGATGTCACACAGAACCAGGCAATGGCAGGGCTGTCAGGAACCTCAGAGATAATCTATCCTACATTCCCTTTGAACAGATAAGAAACAAAGACCAAAAATGGGAAGTGACTTGCCCAAGGTAACACAGCTAGTAAGTGCCATAGCCAGGCCTTGAACCTGGATTTTCTGACTCCAAGTGCTTTTTCTAACTTCATCAAGCTGGTCAGGAGGGTCTCCCCTGCCTATCATTACCTGGCCCCATAAAGCTTTTGAAATGCAGTCCAGCAGCCTAACAGAACTAAAAGGAGTTGGGCTCACTCTTGGGCACCTTGCTTAGGGCACGGGCGCCCAGTTTTTGTTCCAGAAGTGGCTCCAAGGGGCTGGATGGGAAGCAGGAGGCCATTAGGACCCAGAAGCTCTCAGAGCATTCTGCTTTGCCGGCTGCCTCTCACTGCTCACTGCAGTGGTTTAGGCTTCAGCAGCCTTGGAGAAGCATCAGCTGAGAGGAGCTATCACATGGGAGCCGGGAGCTGCTCAGCAAGGTAGGAGCTGCCGACTAGGCCAGGAATGGGGGCTGGCCCCAGGGCCTGGTGGTGGGTGCTGAGGTACCCTACAGGACGGTAGCATTCCAAGGAGCAGCCCTTCCTACCTTATGGTAGGCAGTTTTATCAGCGGATGGGTTCCCAGGTATCCCAAAGGCAGTATTGGGGTATGGGTATCTCTGAAGCCTAGAGCTGGGGGGTTGATCATCTCTCACTGGCAAGAGTACCCACATCCTGCAGACATACGGTGTTCTCCATCTGCACTGCTCCATGTCATAGAGATGGGTCCCCCACAACCTAGGAATGGGTTCTTCAGCATCCAGGCTGATGGGCAACTGTGTCCTGAGAGTAGGCAACTCTGCTGGGGAGAGGTGTTATAGCTCCCTGGAAATCTCCTTTAGCTTAGGAGGGGCATGCTCTTGTGTGAAGGCAGGCCAGGCTCGGGTCTTTGGCATAGAAGCTCTGTATCTGGGAAACAGGCATATGTGAATCCCAACGATACCTCTGTGGCCTTGGGCTGGGTACTTATGTACATCTTGCATCCCGAAACAAGAATATCCGTAACTTGACCATATCCTGCTACAGGCCCAGACCTCAGGCCCTAGTGGCGAAGCCTTGCAGGTACTGAGAGGTCCTGGAGGTAAGAGGGGTGGTGTTGGCAGGCAGCAGTGGGAGAGGACGAGAGCATCTGTTTTGGTAGAAGACATAATGACATGAGCTAGGAGTGCAGTGAGGCTCCCTGGGTTTCCCCCGTGAAACCATTACACCACAGCCCTCCCCTCCACAGCCCCGGCCATGAGTGAGGCAGTGCCGAGCAGCCAGGTATATTGGTCTGCCTGCTAAGAGGTAAATAGGAATCCTGGAATTTAGGAGTCATTGTGGAGACACTGGCAAGGCTGAGTGGGCTATGAAAAAGAGCAATGTCCAGTGCCTTCTTGCCAAGGGCTCCATCATGGCTGCATAGTACCCCGCCATCTCCACGTGGAAACCACGTCTGCTTCCCTCAATCTGGGACTCTTGATGTCCATCCAGACATGGTGGGCCTTTCCTCCTTCAGCTACTAGAGACTCAGCACCATATCTTCTGGGCTCCACTCATAGGTAAAGGGGACGGGTCAATAGTGGCATGGAGAGAAAGGGGGAAGGATGCTTCTCCTACTATTTCTTTCAGGCGTTTTTCCTGGTAGGCTCTTCTGAGAAGCTAATGTCTCTACTTTTGTGCCCTCCCTTCACCTTCTCTGCAGACCCAGAGTCTCTGTAGCCATCTTAACTGTAAAATGAGCTTTCTGCATCCCTGGGGAGATGCACATCTCTAGGCAGTTGTCCAAAGTTAGGGTTGTCTCAAGTCCAGGAGCCCAGGTTACCCTTTCCAGAAGAGTCCCCTGGCTGACACACAGCTGCTGACAGTATTCTTGGAGTTTGTACTAGCGGGCAGGGATTCAACTGATCGAGTTTGATTCAATTCGCAAAACCGTTTTGAGCACCCATTGCATGCGCCGCATGTTAAAGGTTGGATTAGTGCGAGGTTTGTGGTCATGGTGATTGTAAGGCTGTAACTGTGGAGCAGAGTGAGGCTGTCTGGCCATGTGGTCTTCTTTATTGCAGTCATAGAAATGATGGATTTTTAAATTGAGCAACCACCAGACCCTCCCGAGCCCAGAACTCAGAGTAATCAAATATTATCACATGTAGGGACCTTGGAGGTTGTCTAGTCCAATCCTCCCATTTCACAGATGAGGAAACTGTCCTAAGGAACTTGTGACTTGTCTACAGAAAGGCCATCAGACTTGGTGTATCTGCAATTTGTCTCTAATTTGCATAACTCGGCACCCTATAGTAAGTGAATCTGGACTGCAAGAATAGCATATGTAAATGAAAAAAATTTTTATTACATTGGGCAACCTATTTTAATTATATGCAAACTCAACATGGATAATGAGACACATAAAGCAGTATTTGATCTGCCATTTGATCAGGACAAATTAGAGACACTGAAACCACAGACTTTCTCCTCTCCCAATTTCTTCCAGTTTTCTTCTCTGCTTTATGATCACCCACTTCCACGATCACAGACCCCTACCTACCTACCCACCCTCTTAAACAGGTGCCTACTCCCACTCCTTGTCCTGTGACCGTGGTAACGGTTCAGAACCAAGAAGGCTTTGGGCCAGGGATCCTCCGAGGGTCAGCGCCAGTGACCAGGGATCTGAGGAGCTGGGGAGTGGGAGTTCGGGAGCAGCTTCTCTCCCACGGGCAGGGGCGCAGTGGCTTGAGAAGCTTATGAGTAAGTGGAGAAGGGCAGCTTTAAAGTAACTTCTGGCCTTCTGGCTTTGGGGCAGTGGAGGCTCGACAAGCTGGCCTCCCAGTTTCCTTCCAGCCAGGACATTTTGTTCTCACTGCTCCTTCTCAACATTCCCAAAGTGGGAGCTCTTTGTCTTGGGAGCGGTGATGTCAAAAGAGAGTAAGGCACAGTCCCCCTCTTCAGGTGACAGCCTTAGAGCAGCGAGAGACATTTTTAGAGTCAGTTCAAATTCAACAACTATTTACTGGATGCCTATTCTAGTCCAGCCGATGTGGAGGGCACCTTCATACACAGCATGTCACAGTAGGCAAGAGGACTGGCCTGGGGGCCAGACTGCCTGGGTAGGTAACTAGCCCTTGCCACTTACTAGCTGTGTGACCTTGGGTAAGTTACTTAGCCTCTCTAGGCCTGTTTTATCCCTTGCAAGATGAAGATAAGAATAATATCTATCTTATAGGTTTGTGTGAGGATTAAAATGAATTACTCTATGTAGAATTCTTAGAACAGGGCCTGGCATGTGGAAAGCACCACATAAATGTTACTGCTGGTTATTAGTATTGCTATTAATAAATCACACAGGATCCACAAACACAATTGTGAAGCAGGTATTATTCCTTCATTTTACAGATGCCTTTATGAGGAAACTGAAGTTGAGAAGAGTCACAGAGTTAGTAATGCCCACACCTGGGACTGGAAACCAAATCTTTTGCTCCTTCTACTCCCCAGCAGCTCCTGCCATTCTGAGGAGCCAAGAAATCAGGAAATTTACATAAGCAACCCTAAAACTGGGGTGCTATCCCAGAGCTCAGCAGGACCCTGGGAAAGCGAGACAGAGGATTTAGAATCCCTGGATAACAGTCCTCGAAAGGGTAGGAGGGATGGAGAACGGCGGAAAGGAAGTGGAAAAGGAGGAGCCGAAGGCCACTCCGAAGGTGGAGCGTTGAGTGGTGAGGCTCCCACATCTCTCCCGTCTCCTGCTTCTTAGCAGTCTCCAAGGCAGACCCTGGAGCTACCTCCTGCCAGCAAGGGGATCCGAGCTCCTGAGCCCTCAGCTGCCTGGCCTGGCACTCTGTACACAGACAAGCCCAGTCTGGAAGGCTGGTGGTAAGAGCCTGACTAAGCTCCAGCAGGAGGCGCCCCTCACGAAATTGGGAAGCCTGAGCCTGGGCTCGCCATCCCAGCATCGCCGGACTAGGATGGGGGATGGGCCTGTGACGGGAGGTGCCCTGGGTGTCCTCTTTCGGCCCCATGGAGTCCTCTCCCATCCCCCAGTCATCAGGGAACTCTTCCACTGTGGGGAAGGCTCCTCAAACCCCAGGTCCCTCTACTGCCAGTGGGGTCCCAGAGGTGGGGCTGCGGGATGTAGCTTCGGAATCTGTGGCCCTCTTCTTTATGCTTCTGTTGGACTTGACTGCTGTGGCTGGCAATGCTGCTGTGATGGCCGTTATCGCCAAGACACCCGCCCTCCGAAAATTTGTCTTCGTCTTCCACCTCTGCCTGGTGGACCTGCTGGCTGCCCTGACCCTCATGCCCCTGGCCATGCTCTCCAGCTCTGCCCTCTTTGACCATGCCCTCTTTGGGGAGGTGGCCTGCCGCCTCTACTTGTTCCTGAGCGTATGCTTTGTCAGCCTGGCCATCCTCTCAGTGTCGGCCATCAATGTGGAGCGCTACTATTACGTGGTCCACCCCATGCGCTATGAGGTGCGCATGACGCTGGGGCTGGTGGCCTCTGTGCTGGTGGGTGTGTGGGTGAAGGCCTTGGCCATGGCTTCCGTGCCAGTGTTGGGAAGGGTCTCCTGGGAGGAGGGAGCTCCCAGCGTCCCGCCAGGCTGTTCACTCCAATGGAGCCACAGTGCCTACTGCCAGCTTTTTGTGGTGGTCTTCGCTGTCCTTTACTTCTTGTTGCCCCTGCTCCTCATCCTTGTGGTCTACTGCAGCATGTTCCGAGTGGCTCGTGTGGCTGCCATGCAGCATGGGCCGTTACCCACGTGGATGGAGACACCCCGGCAACGCTCCGAGTCTCTCAGCAGCCGCTCCACTATGGTCACCAGCTCGGGGGCTCCCCAGACCACCCCACACCGGACGTTCGGGGGAGGGAAGGCAGCAGTGGTTCTCCTGGCTGTGGGGGGACAGTTCCTGCTCTGTTGGTTACCCTACTTCTCTTTCCACCTCTATGTTGCCCTGAGTGCTCAGCCCATTTCCACTGGGCAGGTGGAGAGTGTGGTGACCTGGATCGGCTACTTTTGCTTCACTTCCAACCCTTTCTTCTACGGATGTCTCAACCGGCAGATCCGGGGGGAGCTCAGCAAGCAGTTTGTCTGCTTCTTCAAGCCAGCTCCGGAGGAGGAGCTGAGGCTGCCTAGCCGGGAGGGCTCCATTGAGGAGAACTTCCTGCAGTTCCTTCAGGGGACTGGCTGTCCCAACGAGTCCTGGGTTTCCCGACCCTTACCCAGCCCCAAGCAGGAGCCACCTGCTGTTGACTTTCGAATCCCAGGCCAGATAGCTGAGGAGACCTCTGAGTTCCTGGAGCAGCAACTCACCAGCGACATCATCATGTCAGACAGCTACCTCCGTCCTGCCCCCTCACCCCGGCTGGAGTCATGATGGGCCGCTGGACACTTGGAGAGAGATGGGGCTGGGGGCCGGTTATGATTGCAAGGACCACCTTGTGGGATTACCTTTTCCCAGCTGGCTAGGGCTCGGGCTGGGGTCTCCACACACAGCTTTTGCTTAGTGTTGCCTCGGTCAGGAACGGAGCCAACAGGATGAACGTGTGGCCAAAGCCTTGGACTTGGCTGTGATCTTTGACTACTGGGGGAGGGAACCTGGGTATGATGAGACGGTGACGAGAGAAAAGGGTCACAAAGGTGAGGTGAAGCCTCTCAACCAGTGAGTGAATGTTCTGTGCCTCGGGAAGCGGGGAAATTCCCTAAGGGTAGGAGTTGGAGGATATAGGGCAGCAGGCCACGTCTGTAGTTATTCTGGGGGCCGTTTAGGATATTTTATTTTTCAGTGTAATTGTCCAGGGCAGTAATTGCACCCAAGCAAGGTAAGAAAATGACCTGTGTCTTCTCATTTCCTTGCTCGGTTTAAAAAGAACTAAATTACAGCCAAGTGGTTCCATTTGAATTAATGGATCATTTTCTAGTTTTACACCTGAGAATCCCTTAAAGCGAGAGGACTGGTAGGGTCTGGTAGGTATTCCTCTCCTTAGTTTGGCCAGACACAAGGTGAGATAGCAATTAGGGGACATGGAATAGAAGACAGGAAAGCTGACTGCAGCTCTCTCTCTCCCACTCTTCAGGAAAAGCCCTTCTGTTCTATTTTTCTGTCTCTCTCCTGCACATAGGAGATCAAGCGTGGGGCTTGATTTCAGCAGAGACAAGAATAAGACAGGATGACTTTTTCTCTCTTTTAGGAAGAACTAGGATGATTGGGAAGTCGGATGGCTGAGGGTGGGATTGGCATTTCAACTGCTGATACAGAGAGGCCAGGTAATAACCCTGATCAGTAATACTGCAAATCTTTTCTTTCCAGGACTGGCCTCCCTGATCTCTCTCCTCATGGCAGTGACCCACCTCCAGCCCCCTGGACAATCGGGTACAAGAGACTAAGGTTGGGCATGGGAAGGGTGGGGTTTCCATGTTCCATTAAATGCCTCCCTACTCCCATTCATCGCTCTCAAAATTAGCTTCAGTGACAAAGACTTAAATCTCTCTCGTATCTGTAGCCCTGGGTTGGAGAGAGGGCACAGGAGTTGGGCTCAGCTGTTCACTGATTGAGACTGTAGGAACTGTGTTGGTTAGTACTGGCGGTGATATTTCCAACGGAGAGGGAATAATTGCAAATTGGACAGGACACCCATCAGGGACTACCTGTCCATCCCACTTCCCTCAATTGAATCAGGTAACATCCAAGGGTCAAAGGCAGGGCCAGAGGGGGTGTGGTCTGTATTTAAACAAATTCCTGGCTCACTGAGCATCAGAGGGGGAAAATGAGCTGGTGGGAGTGGGATAGTTTCCCCTTTAAACAGCCAATAAATAATTCTTATGATAAAAAGTTATACTGATATCAACATTGACTCCTTCAGTTCAATTCAGTGCTTAATAGTTGAACACCCACTCACTATTCCCTGGGACTCACACAGAGGATGTATACAGTTATTGCCTTTAAGGAGTTCATAGTCCAATTTGATCAGATATCTTGTAATTTCATAGAACATTTAGATCTGATAAAGCACCATAGAATGTGTTTGAGAACTATATTAGAGAATATATCCATGGTTGTAAGATCTGAGAGTTCAGTCTGTTGCAGCAAGATAGCTACATGGAGGCTTCCTGCAGACTGTGGAAAGTGTGGGGGTTGTTAATGAAACTCCAGTGAAGAAAAAAATGTATTAAACAAAACTGGGCAAACATAGCTTTCCCCTTTTGATCTAGGAAGATTTCCAGGTTTCTGTCTTCCTATCACTAGACTATTATTCTAGGCTAGTGCGTATTATATTGAGGAAATTCCTTAGAAAGATAGCATATACAGCAAGGAGAGTCCTTTGTGATTGAAAAACATGTTCACTTCTCTCTCCTCTCTTTTAAAATAAACTCATACTGAGGAATTTCATTCCTAGACAGGGGAAAAGCTTCTTTCAAACACCGCTGATCAGCTAGTAGACCCAAAGCATTGCCAGCAGGTGGCAGCGTGAGTCCAGTGGAAGTGGGAAAGACATGTATTTGGGGGGGAAGGGGGGAAGGGGAAGGCATTAAACATTGTCTGGCAGCCATTTTGTTAATTTATTTTGCCTTTTGCTTTGACTTTGCCCTCCAACCCTTTCTTCACATACACCAAAGACGAAAGGTTTAAGTGCAAGGATATCTTTAATTCTGACTAACATTTCCTGACAGTGGGATTTCACTGGTCTCTGTTACAGAGTTTGACATACATGGGTTCATTTGCTATTTATTTTTCCCTGTAGGAGTGGATCATGAAAGGAATAAAAATTTCTCTTTTACTATGCTGAGAACTTTCCCAACAATTTCTGCTATGACCACCTTCCAGGAGTTTTCTAGTCACCACGATGTTTTGGTAAAGTTTAATATGTAATCCTTAGCTCTGAAAGCTGTTGCTGGACAAAATCTGACCTCTCTAACTCTGTGAAGAATCAACAGATTGAGGCAACCATCTGGTCAGTTGCTTTTTCATGCATCATGCTGTTGTTGGAGTGGCTCCCAATTCTACATGAAAACCTTACACCTTATGTTACGTTGTCAGGTGTCCCCAGGCAATATCCTATAATGGTAGAAAAGGGGTGAATTTGGAGTCAGATCTAATTACTCACTGTGTGAACTTGGGAAAGCTGCTTAATTTCTCTGAGCCTATTTCCTCATCTGTAAAAATGGGGATCATTACCTACCTCACAGGGTTGTTGTGAGGATTAAAAGAGATGAGATGTGGAAGCACCTAGCCATACTTGGCAAATAGGTACTGAATAAATACTGATTTTTATTCCCTTTCCTCTTGCCCTTTTTCCCCAGAAGTATTGATAATGGGAAAAGCCGTCCCTTTCATTCTAGCAGTCATTTGGGAATGTGTGGGAGACTTTTCAAACTTTGAAAAATTGGTGTTGATAAAAGTTATAGTGGATAAAGCTGTTTAAGGTGGCTATAATCCTGTAATTAAATCCTTATGATTAATGAATATCACTATATAGACCTTTCTGTTGGGACCTTATATTCTAAGGTTCAAATTCTATTAGAGAAATAAAGTAACTTATAATCACAGGGAAAGATTTTAGGGTCTGAGTTCCCCTCGCTAGAATGTATGGTAAAAGTAATTGTGGGGTTATTTGGCAGTAAAAGTAATGCAGGACCATCTTCACAGTAGTACCCAGGGTTATCTGTGAAAGAGAGTATCAGCCTGGGGCTTTCACAGGGGCTTATTAATTTTCAGGTGATACTAGAGCTGAGAGACAAACTTTACTAGAACTTCCCTTTTTGTTTAGTAGGAGATTCACAGGATGCACTGGTTTGTTTTAGGGTGTGGGGCTGAGGTTTACTTATCTTGATATTAGGCCTAGACTCCTAACGTAGGACAATCTGGTTTATATTGGAGAGATGGGCAGCAAGGAAATTTTATGGAACTACACGCTTACCTTCTAGGTTGTCGAGTATCTCCTAGCGATTTCAAGTGACCCTTTGCCAACATAGTTGCTAAGCAAATCTCAAGCCCACAGAAATTCGTATGTAACATATTTTGAGAGCAGGAGGCGGTGGGCCAGAGGAGAGGGCAAAAAGGCATTAAAGTCCTAGGCACGGTCAGTGTTACGGATCTCAGCTGTGAGGCGTGGTCGGAGCCCACGCTGGGCAGTTTGTTCCCGTCCCATAGATCTGACTGAGACAACGCCGGCAGAAAAAGTGTCCCACACTTGGGCTGGGCTCCCGGGTCGCCACAGCAAGAGATCAAAGGGGTTTTCTGGCAGGCAAGAAATTCCCAGCAAAAATTCCCGTGCGGACTGTGGCTCTTATTTGGGAATCCCCGCCCTCCTACCTCCAAACCCGCTGTGTGACCTCGAGAGGGCACCATGAGCTGGAAGCCCCGGTTTTTCTACATTTATCCAAATCAGGTAGCCGAAAGGTAAAAGGGGATTAAAGTTGGGTGGCGCGCAGTGCCTTGACATAACCTCGCTACTCCGCGGAACCGCCGCCCAGCCCTGACGCCGCTTCCCCGTAACTTCCGCTTTCGGTCTCACCTCCTCTCCCAGAGCGAGAGTGCTTCAAGTGGTAACGGCCGCGGGGCGTTGCCGGAAGTGTCGCAAACGCCGGATATCCGGTTCTTCTGGGCTCTAGGGAAGCTGACAGAGAGGGCCGCCGCCCAGCAGTAGACGCTGTCTCAGCCAGGCTAGCCGCAGTTCCTGTGGTGTGTGAGTGAGCCCGGGCCTGGTCCCTTCTCACGCCGCCGCCATGGGCTGCACGTTGAGCGCCGAAGACAAGGCGGCGGTGGAGCGGAGCAAGATGATCGACCGCAATTTGCGGGAGGACGGGGAGAAAGCGGCCAAAGAAGTGAAGCTGCTGCTTCTCGGTAAGCGGCTGAAGGCGGGATAGAGTGGTGGTCGGAGAGCCTAGGCAGTTGGGAGGCCTAAGCTGGGTCTGGCTAGGCTGGCGAAAAGGACCCCAAAGGGATCTGGAGGGCGTGCCGGGATTGGGGCGGAGCGTTGGGGTTCTGGCTGAGGCCCCTGTGGGCGTGTGAAGGGGGGTGGGGTTTTCGGGTTGTAGGAATTAGGCTGGAGAGGGTGGAACTCTGGGCTGGAATTGCGGTTAGCAAAGAGAGTTGGGGAGTATGAGGCGGTAGGACATTGAGATTGTTAGGATTATGGGAAAAGCTCATAAAGGAAGAGCTGATATTATGGTAGGTTTTACGTTGGGTTGGAGCGTGTTGGTAACGAGGATGGGATAGAGTGTATGTTGGGCTTGTGTAATGGTTTGTGAGTTTGGAGCGAAATGATACTTTCATGACATAATAACGCTGAGAAGCTTGAATGATTAAATAGAGTCAGGACAGAGTGGTCACATAGGACCTTGCCATTTGTTAGAGAGCGAGCATTTTGGACTATTAATTGGGTGGAGGAACCCTGAATTATCCAGGAACATGAAGGTAGGTGGTTGAGTTAAATGGCAAGGAAAAGATCTTGCAGAGGCCACCTGTACTTTTCTGCTTTTTAAAAAAATCATTTTTATTCTCTTAAGGTTTTATAACTCTTTCCCTTGTTTTTATAGGGGTGGGGGGATGGCGTGAGCTGGGGAAATTTAAAGAATGGCTTGAGGTTTGTGGCAGAAGATCTAATGGACAATAGATTACACATTGGAAGTTGCTGAATAGTTGCTAGGGGACTGTGTGCAGTGGGAATGGCGTTATCTTATGATAAATTATGGAACTGAACATATTTACTGTAAAGACTGTGATAGACCTCTGGTGTGCTGTTTTATCCTTTTTGCTCTCTTCAAAACAAGAATATGGCTGGGCGCGGTGGCTCATGCCTGTAATCCTCGCACTCTGGGAGGCCGAGGCGGGCGGATTGTTTGAGCTCAGGAGTTCGAGACCAGCCTGAGCAAGAGCGAGACCCCGTCTCTACTAAAAATAGAAAGAAATTAATTGAACAACTAAAAATACATAGAAAAAAAAAAATTAGCCGGGCATGGTGGCGCATGCCTGTAGTCCCAGCTACTTGGGAGGCTGAGGCAGGAGGATCGCTTGAGTCCAGGAGTTTGAGGTTGCTGTGAGCTAGGCTGACGCCACGGCACTCTACTCAGGGTAGTAAAGTGAGACTGTGTCTCAAAAAAAAAAAAACAAGAATATTAGCCCGGAATTACTGTTCATGTTACCAATATTCATTTAAAATTGTTTTTATGTACAGTCACATGCATTTTACTCAGCATGATTTAGTTTTAAAATTTTTGAGAGGTTCAGTAAATCATTTAAAGTAGCCTGGCATTAGCTTACCAATAAATCAAGCCACATTTCTTCATTATTAGTATTTTCTAGGGATTGGTTAGAGAAGAATAAGTAGAAGTAATGGTTTCTGTAAGCAATAGAACTTTACTTTTTGAAGCAATTGATTTTTGAGAGTCACATTAAGAAAGTGCCAAATTTTCATAGTGTAAAGCTCCAGAGCTCAGAATGCACCATCACAACCCAAGACTTATTTTGTACTCCAGGATATGCTGGGTGCCCCTGCTAGTCTCTTCTTGTTAACGTATTGATTAGTTGTAGATTGCAAAGGCTCTGGTAACAGGTCTTTTGGATATACCATAGATGGAAAGTTATGTATTGGAGCTTAAGCTTCCAATTTGAACATCTTAACTCTCAGAAGGTATGAATTCAAATTGTAGTACTAGACCATCACTCTCTATGTAGCGGGTATCTTCAGTGGATGACCATGGTCCCTGGCACAGAGTAGATGCTCTTTAAATATTTACTGTTAACTAGCCTGAGCTAGCTAATGTTGGACATTGGTCCTTGGGGCTTTTCAGAAGTTTGATATAGACCACAACACCCAAGACATTAGCATTTTCTTGATTGATTGATTTAGTTATGAAATTAAAGGTGTATTCTCATCCTCCGTGAGTGATTTGATGTGCATTGACAGTTAGAGATCGCTTCAGGACATTTGCCTATTGTAATACAGTTGTAAATTGTGAGGCTTTCTTCCACCTGGCAGGATTTGGCAGGCAGAACTTGTGCCAGCAGAACTCGTGGAAGTGTCTGGAAAAATCTTTATTCAGGACTTTATAAATAGTGCGTTTAATTAAAAAAATTAAACACGTGGTGACTTAGGGAACTTGAAAAGCAGTAAGTAAAAATTAAAATACTAAAACATTTGCTTTTAATTTTTACCAACTTTATTATTTTTAAATCAGATTTTGTAATATTCTTGAGCAAATTAAATCCACAAATTCAGATGGGTTGCAAAGACAGATGCTCTTGCTTGAGCCATATCATAACACACATGTGAAATTAAAATAATTTTCTGTGCTATTTCTATATGCAAAATGCACCCAACACAGTATACAGATAATTTTCTTTTTGCAGTAGAATATCTCCTTTGTTGTACATGCAAGTCATTTTTACTTCATCAGTATGAAATTGTCGAACTTGATTTAAATTGAGATTTATCTGTTTATGTTTGTCTCCCCTGGCACGTAATGTGTTCTTTCCTACAGGGATGTAGTTTAGTATAGTGATTGCATGGGCTCTGTAGTCAGACTGCTTCAAATTCTTCCAGCTATAACCTTGGGAAAGTTATTTACTTAATTTCTCTGTGCCTCGGTTTTCTTATCTTTAAAATGGAGAAAATAGACTTCACAGGATTGCTGTGAGGATTAAATATCATGATAATGTAAAGCAGAACACAGCTTGGCACAAAGTACTAGCTCAGTGAATATTAGCTATTACTGTTATTATTAAATCAAAGTGAATTTACAAATTATAGATACTATAGCAATACAAATTAAGAAGCTAGTGTGGGCTGGATTAGTTAAGGAACACTTCAGTATTATAATTCTTCCTTTGATAACCTTTGGTTTGAATTTCCTTTAAATGTTATTGGGAAGATCTTGATATGACAAGTTAGTGTTTAATCACAATATTCTGTTGAAAGATAAAACTATATTATGCAAAGCTTCCCAACCAGTGTATAGTGCCTAGGATGACATACAGGTGTGCTGCTTGCAAATTTTTTATATAGTGTTGAAATTTTAAATTGTTTTATAACTTCAGAATTTTACTGCAGTAGGATATTTGAACATTTTTGGTATGATTCCCTCTGTAAACTTCCTGAATTTGGTAATTTGGAGAAATTTTATTGGGAAGGTTTTTACCAATTCACTATTTAATATCATCTGTAATATTTTTATTTTTCATGCCATAATTTCATAATTTAAAGAAAAAATTTTCCACTAAGCCCCTCCAGCTTGCCTCAATTGAGTCTTACCACCATTATCATGTCCAGTGTGTGCCATCATGTGACAGAAGTTGGGAAGCACTGGTATAATGGACAAAAGCACTGCTTTTGGATTCACACAAACTGAATTCAAGTTCTACCTCTGTTTACTAGCTCTGAGGCCCAGGGCAAGTAACTTAACCATATGAGTCATAATTTTCACGTATGTAAAGTAGGAATGATGATGTTTCAGAGTATGGAATGAAGTAATATACGTAAAATGCTTAGCTTTAGTGCCTAGCAAATATTAATAATAAACATTTCATAAATGATAATGTCTGTCGGTGATGATGTTTGTGAGGCTTATCATTTTAGCTACTTTTCTGCAGGGTGCTTCAGATAGTTATTTGATTATTTTTCATGTTAATATACTCTTTTCAAAGATCTTCAAAGAATTTTAATAAACATTCTTTTGTGATGAATTAAATGTTGTCATTTAATTTTGTAAGTTATTGAATGATCTATTCCTGTGCTATCTCCAAATTTCCATTTCTTGATAATTCCCTTTAGCAGGTCTGAAGAAAACATTATACAAAATGAGATTAATACATTGTTCTTTGGGATTTTGCTGGTGGTGGTATGGCAAAAATTGAGTTGCATGCAGAAAATTAGAATCATCTAGTTTACTTAAACCCTGTATTATACAATTAATTATTCATATTTAAATTTATACATATTATTGGTTGAATATACTTACTGAAAATGAGGCTGTCCTTTGATAAATATGCTATTACATTATATCCTCCTGTGAAATGATATCCTTTTTAATGTTTGCCATTTGTTTGAGATAAGATCTATAAATAGTTAAATTTAATGTGAGGATGCATCTTGTGTCTGAAAAAAAAACTGGCATAAAAAATAGAAATTGACATTGCAGAAAATGGTTTGTGTTTAATAAACTTGTTATTTTCTTTTATTAACATTTAAATGCATTCATCAATTTTGCAGTCTGAAAATATGGTCTTTTTCAGGAATAATAATAATGTAATCTTTCCTTACTGTACATTCCTACAGTACAGTGATGGCCACTTAATACTTATTAGATTTGTCAGGGCATGTGACATTCTAATCAGGGCTGCAATTATGTTATTTGCACTATTACAAAACAGTCTTTTAGTTTTTGGGCAGTTGTCTCTGATAAAAGTGGTTCCTGGTCGGGAGACCTTTTAGAAGTTTGTGAAACGTGAAACACTGTGCTGCTTACTCTGTCCTTCCCCATGGTGCTGAGCTGCTTCATCCTCTAGTTTCTTGGGAAGTAAAAGGGAGACGTTGGGGCTTTGCAGATATTTCCTTTTTTCCTCACATACATTCATAGTCTCTCTCTCTCGCCCTCTCTCTCTCTTCCTTCCCTGGTTTCTTTCACAACATGCTTTTTGTTTGTTTGTTTACATCTGGAATATAGGTACCCCTTAGGGCTTCCTCTGATCCATGAACTTCTTTCCAAAATTGTTAGCAAAATTTGTGGTTATATACATTTTTCTGAGGAAGGAAGCCATATGTATTTTTTTCATCAAGTTCTTCCTCCACAATGCTACGTGACCTCCATTCTTACAAGTCCTTCATCTGTGACCAGGAAAAGGCA